GCACCTTAAAGCCTTCTGAACTCTCCACTCACATTGTTTTCAGACATTACCTTCACTTAATGATTCTGCTGTTGCCATTTACAGATCTTCATAGTCAATCTTTTATTTCTTCACTTTCATTCCCACACAGACCATCCCTTCTGTCACTTAGTCAAGTGTCCACACCATTAGATACTTCTTTTTGTTCTCCCTACCCTCCACTCCCCCTTTTCCTGCCTCTGTATATATTTAAAACCTGTTACATCTTTAGATTTTTCCAGTTTTGATTTAAGGTTAGTGACCTGAAACATTTATCTCTGTTTCTCTCCCCACAGACACCTGATTTGGTAAATAGTTTTGACATTTTAACAGAAGAATAGCATTCTGGGAGCTTTTTGGTATCCATAATTCAGCTCCTCAACGAATGAAATAAGCTGAGGTGTACAGCAAGACTCATAAGAGCAAGAATGGAAACAGGCTCAAGTCTGCACAAAATGGAGCAAAAAGAGGATATGCAATGGCGAACACAAATGACAGGTGAACCAAAACCAGAGATTTTTGCTGCATTCCATAAGCAAGTTGACTTGATTCTCTGTAACATCACAGATGACTATTCTCATACTAACAAAAAGTTTACTTTTCTCGAGCATTGATTTTAGTAGTTCTGCTGCAGGTTAGGACATACTTAAAAATCTAAACAGAATGACAGCGAAATACTTGACTGATTATAGTGCTGACCAACAGAAAGTAAAAGGGCCAGTCATAAAACATTGTGAAACAGATAACTGTGATACACAGACTAATAAATCTGCCTGCCTGTTTTTGCTACCAAAGCAAATAACATCATATTTATCCACATTATGCTTTATCTGTCATATATCTGACCACTAACTTGTCCAAATCACACTGAAGTTTGTCTGCATCCTCCTCATAGCATTCTCTCTCACCCATTTTGGGCTTGCTTACTTAATGTGCAAACTTCTAAATCAGTTTCAGTTACTTACTTTGCATTTTTAATTTTATTTATTCCATGATCCTTTGGGGTATTCCATAATTTGAGGAAACCTTCCACTCCCAGTAGTTCCTTCACTACTCTGTTTCGATGAAAGTTGATCGACCTGAACAGATGTGGCCTGGTCTGCTGAATCTTTTCTTTTTATTTGTTTCTTCCACTGTTATTGGATTCTATAGTTATTTAAGTTTCACTGTATGACGTGGTTCCTTTGGAATCCCTGAATGTGCTGAGAAGTAACCAAAAAATGCAGGTGCAACAATTGCTGGGCCATTCAACCTATACACTTCACTATTTCAGCATCCATGTGTGGCAAAAGCCAATTTTTTTGGCTAGTATTTTACTTTGGCAATTAATATCCTTTTGGGCAATGAATTAAAGGAATAAAGTCAGTTTCATTCACATTCAATGAGGTTCCATACAAAGAGTTAACATGCAAGGCAAAGTTCATATTAGCATTGGTGGAGGATTAACTAATGAACATGAAGCAGAGAGCCTCAAATCAGTAATTACTGGAGTGCCAAAAGGATCAATGGTGTGTAAATCAACTATTTACATCTATGTTAATGACTTAGGAGGAGGGACCAAGTGTGATGTATCTACATTTGCCTACAATAAAAAGCTAGGTGGAATATTATCTATGCGAGGAAACAGATAAGAGTCAGAGAATCAGAGTAATACAGCACAGAAAGAGACCGTTTGGTCCAACACATTGCTCCAACCAGAAAGCCTAAACAGATGTAGTCCCATTTGCCTGCATTTGGCCATTTCTGTCTAAGCCCTTCCTATTCATGTAGAGACCTTTTAAATGTTGTAATTGCGCGCACCTCGAACTCTGGCAGCTCATTCCATACACACAACACCCTCTGCGTGACAAACTTGCCCATCAGGTCCCTTTTAAACCTTTCCTCTCTCACCTTAAACCTATGCCATCCAGTTTTGGATCTCACCTACCGCAGGAAAAAGGTCTTGGCTATTCACCCTACCCATGCCCCTCATGATTTAGATTTAGAATGGGCGCGGGGTGGTAGATGGAGTGTTATGTGGGGAGGTGCAGGGTTGATCATTTTGATTGCAAGGACAGAAAAGCAGAATGTTGTTCAACAGGCATAGAACTTATAAATGCTGATGTTCAGAGAGACTTGGGTGCACTTGCACAAATCAGTGTGCAGATATAGCAAACAATTGATAAGGAAAATGGCATGTTAGCTTTTCTTGCAAGGGACTGAAATACAGTACAAGAAATCAATAAGTTTTGCTACAACTGTACAAGGCTTTGATGAGACCACACCCAGAATGCTATGTGCAATATTGCTTTCTATATTAAAGGATTTAGTCACATTCAAGGCAGTGCAGCAAAGGTTCACCGGAATGGGCCTTGGGATGAGCAGTATTTACTCACTAGAGTTTAGAAGAATGACAGCTGGCATCACAAACACACAGAATTATAAAGAGCTTGACAGGCTAAACACAGAGGCTATTTCCTTTGGCTGTGGAACACAGAACGTAGGAGCACACAATCTCAGGATAAAAGAGTTGATAACTTAGGACAAAAAGTTTCTTCACTCAAGAGACTGAGAGAATGGCCTTCTCTTGCCCAATGGGCTGTGCATATTCCACTGTTTAGTACAGTTCAGGCTCTCAGAGTATCAAGTAGTATAGGGGGCAAGCATAAAAGTGTAAAAGTGGAGCTAAGTCAAAAGATCAGCTTATGAATATTCTGTATTAAACAGGGGAGCCAGTTAGTCATAATTATCAATTATCTGTAATTATCCATTCTTGCTATTTATGTTCTCGAAACACCCTATCTTGGTAAAGCATTTTAAGGATAAGTCTTTCAGATAGTCGTTTGAGGCAGGAATTAAACTACAATTTTTAAACACAAACATGGTGTGTAATATAGAATCATAGAAGGGTGCAGCACAAAAACAGGCCATTAAGTCCATTATGCTTGTGTTTATTTTGAATGAACAGTTCAATCAAACCCACTCCGCTGATCGTTTCCAAATTCTGGCAATATTTTCTGTTTCAAGAATTTATCCAATTCCATTTTGAAAGCAATTACTGAATCTGCTTCCACCATCATTCCAGGCAGTCCATGCCAGTGATGTTTTTCCTCATGCTACCTCTGATTCTTTTTCTAATTACTTGATGTCTGTGTCCTCTGATCATCAACCCTTCTTCTGCCATGAGAACACAAGAAATGGTTTCTCAACCTTTACTGATTCATGACCTTGAATGGTACTGTGTAATCTTTGTAATCTTGTCTGCTATTAGGAAAACAATCCCAGTTTCTCTACTCTTTCATCAGGTCTAAAGACTCTCATGAACGGAACTGTTGTACAAAATCTCCTATATGCCTTTTGACATCCTTTTCTTACGTTTAGTGTCTAAAATTAGCTGCGATATTCTAGTTGAGGCCTAATCAACACAATTTCCTTCATTTTCTCTTCATAAAGACAAAGATTCTAAATGCCTTTAACACCTTCTTAACTTGATCTGCCAAAGACTTGACTGAGTGCCCCTCTAGGTCCTTTTCTGCCTGCATCCCCTTTTAAAATTGTACCATTTACCTCCCCCCATACTTCTTACCAAAATTTGTCACTTCAACCTCTCTGCTTTAAATCTCATCTACCATGTGTCTGCCCATTTCACTATTCCCTCACTATATCTGGTACTTACAATTTCATTGGTATTATGTTTGGAACATTTACGTCATCTACACAATTCGATGTTATATCCTGTACGCCCAGGTCCAGGTTATCAATAGGCATCAAGGACACTAGTGGTCTAAAAATCAACCCTAGGGGACAGCAACACACACATCTCTTCAGCGAACAAAAAAAAAAAAAAATCACTACTCTCTAGCTTTCTGTAACTTAGTCAATTTTGTATCCAGTCAGTGCAGTTCCTACTATCTCCACTTCATTCCACTGGGTTTCAATTCTGCTCACATATTCATGAAGTGGCACTTTATTAAATACTTTTGAAAGTTCATATACATAACATCAATTGCACTATGCTCATCAACCTTTTTTTTTAAAAGAATCAAATAACTGAATAATAGATCTGTAAGCAGTATGGTGTACTATAGATTTAATGCACCCGCTATCAAACAAACAATGAACTCAGCAGTAATACATCATAACTAACAAACAGTTATTTAAAACAAAACACTAAAATCCAAAAAAAATTTGTTCAACAGTTTATGACTGAAAGCACTGTTTGGAGTTTTAGGTCAGTAGTTAAGGAATGATGCTCACAGTTCACAATGCTGACAGCTGCCTAGAGTGTTTAATGAGTGGTTACTTGCTGTCGTCGGGTTTCTGACAGAGCACTTCCCACTCTGCTAAAGCCCTGTGGCATGTGTAAGCAAAGCATGAAGTAATGAAACCTTCCAAAAAACCAGACTGATGCAAAGTCTAAACCAAGTGAAGACCGAAGTAAAAACAAGGAAAAAGTGTTTTAAATCATGAAGAGAGAAAACTCCGCATTATAAAATTTAGTACAAATGAAGCTGTTTGACAATAATTACGATTGATCTTGCTGTTACTTATGATTGAGTGCACCTTTTGGCCTTTCTTAGCACTCTCTGTGAAAAGGTAATAGTGAAAAGGATAGGTTAGGACAAAGTAAATGAGATAAACCATGACAAACTATGCAATAAATATCAAAGAAAAAGGAGAATAATACTTTCATTAGATGAACCTGGAAACATGAACAGTGTAGGATTACATTTTAACAAAAACTGTAAATAAAATTATAACTCACTAGAAGATGTTTAAACAATTCTATTATGTAAAACACTGGCCATATTTCATGGAGCCTGATTTAAAATGCAGTGTGCTCATATATTTTTGATTATATGATTTAAATTTAAGATACAGCTCAAGCCAGTCTACTACAACATTTATCTGCAGAATTTCACAGGAAGATTTAAAAAAAGGAAAATTTCTATCCACTTCCAATTATATTGAAAGCAAAGTGAAATAAAGAATGAGCCACTTACCATTCATGGCTGTGGGAAACTGAGCCATCATGGTCATGTGTGTACCTTGCTAGCTATCAGCCATCTGCAACAAAAACATGTTGTATTATTTATGCATCAAGGACAGAGACCAGTTTACTGCCCTGCTGAGCAAGGAGAATGTCAGCTTGCTTTCGCTCACACTTCCGAAAATGAACAAATGTGTGGTTTCAAGCCTATGCTGATCCAGCCGAATTCACACATACACAAAAGTTCAGGAGGATAGGTGAAGCATAAAAGGAGGGCATTCCTAAAGAAACTGAAGCACATTAAGTTCTACTACTGAAGAATTCAAAACATAAAACAGGCATAGACACATAATTCCTTTTTTCACAATAGTAGGGGTTTAAATGAAGCAATATTATCTCAAATAGTCTTAACAGGAATTTGCAGTAAAAATACAAGCATTGCTCTTTTAAAAAGAAATGTATGATGCCTCCAAAATATTACTGACACACAATTCCATTTCACACAAAAAGTGTCTGATATTTGAAGATGATGAAGTATTCAGTCCTCACTTTGCACCTGTCCTTTTCCCTACATAATTCTGCATGGAATGTGCCACTGTTCCATTCACATGGAGGAAATATGAGGGATTGCACAGGATAAAGAACTTTTTCTGAGAGAGTGAAGTCAACCCTGTAACTCAAAGATTAGATCAGGAATAGAATTCCACCCAGTGCATCCCACTGTCAGTTATGAGAAACAGGAAATAAAACACCACATTCCTATTTGTAACATGGAAACAAACAAGGCAGCTGTCCCCATTTAATAGAGTCCGGGCCAGCAGTGCAAAATTAATGCAAAATAAAAGATGCACCTATAAGAAGAACAACAGAAGACATAATTAGTGTGGTTAAAGTACAGAGATATGCAAAAATGGCATTTGAGTGGATTACACACAGATCAAGGTTCTTGCGTCACAGAACTGAACAGACACAAATTCATATTTATCTTTCTAATGCTTGAAAAAGAGAAAGAGAGAGAGAGGGGAGGGGGAAAGGGAGAGAAATAGATAGGTTCAACACAGCTTTTTAAGGCAAATATTTCCTTTCATTAAAAATTCTCTCAAAATGTTATCCCTAGTCTATATTTTCATGCTCAGGGAGGGAGAGGTGCTGATGTAGTGGTAATATCACTAGACGAGTAATCCAGAATCCAGTCTAATACTCTGGGCCCATAGGTTGGAATCCCACCTTGGCAAACGGTTAGCTTCAAATCCCTTCCATTGAAAGTCTAGGGGTCGTATCCATAGGGAACTCTGCAGCATATTTCAGTTTCCCCAGAACCCCAACAAGTTGTCAGGACACCAATGATGTAGGTTTCTTGACGTAAAAAACAATTACAATGATACAACTAAGGGTGGTAGGGAATTTTCCAATTAATGTTTTCAATTCTTCACTAGGCCACCTTAAAGTTGGATTTTGCACAAAACCATGTTTTAATTAAATAACCGTTGTCAAAAGAACAGGATCATAACATGCTAACATTTTAAAGCTGGTAAGGTAAATAATAGTTACATTTCTAGAGAAAGTGACACTCATTCAGTTCCATTTCACCTGGCAACCTAAACATTGCTGATATTTGCAAGTTATCACAGGTGCCAATTTGTTTATTTGTCAGATTTCAATTTAAACCTTGACAACTGCTTCAAATTTCCAATAAAGGTACATGATGCTTATGATAACAACACAAGTTATTCAACGGTTTTCAAATCTTCTTGGTTTTAGGAGGCTATTCAGTTCTTTTGAGTTCATGCCAACTCTCTGCAAGAGCAACTCAGTTTGTCCCACTCTCTCACCATAAAACAGCACATTTCTTTTCTTGAGATCCTTATCCAATTCCTTTTGAAAGCCACAGATAATTCAGTATCTGTTACCCTTGCAGCTATTTTGCATCCTAGACAATTGTTGCACAAAAGAAAGGTTTCTCTGGTCAACTTGGCTGGTCATGGCTGATCGAATAATCAACTTCATTTTCCTGCCTTATCCCATTAACTCTCAATTCCCTTACTGATTAAAAATCTGTCCATCTCAGCCTTCGAATACTTAATAACCCAGCATCTACAGTAAAGAATTCCACAGAATCACTTCCCTCTGAAAGAAGAAATTCCTCCTCATCTGTGTCTTAAACAGCAATGTTTTATTTTGATATTATGCCCTCTGGTCCTAGACTTTCCCACAAGGGAAACAACCTTTCTGCATCTACCCTGTCAAATCCCTTAAGAATCTTACATATTCCATTCTTCTAAACTCTACGGAGTACAAGGCCAACCTACTCAACCTCACCTCAAAAAAAATCCTTCCATAATCTTCTCTGGACTGCCTCCAAAGTCAGTATATCTTTCCATCGATAAGGGGACCAAAATTCTTCACAGTTGTGGCCTTGTATAGTTTTAGCAAGACCTCTATGTTTCTACTCCATACTCTATAAGGTCTATTATATTTATATTATGTTTTCCTTCCCTATTACCTGCAGATCTTATATGCTGGTTTTTTGTGATTTATTGCCAATGACAATGATTTCTCTCTGTCTCTCTTAGGTCCCTGATGACTTTGAGCAGCCCTAACAAATCTCCTGTTTTCCTTCTCTTCTATAAGAGGAAGTCCAACTTCAATATTTGGAACTGAAGTGTTGTACCTGTGCAATCATTCTCGTAAATTATTTCTCTACCCTCATCAAAACCTTCACATCCTTCCTGAAATGTGATGCTCTGAATTGAATACAATATTCCAGTTGAGGCTTTTATACAGGTTCAACATAACTTTCTTATTTCTGTATTCTCTGTAAATAACAACATTACTTTCACAATGGAAAAGAATATTTGTAAGGAAATTGACATTCAGCATACTCAAACCCAATCTGGAAATTAGGACACCACCACAGAAAGCAAGGAGGGGCAGTAGAAA